TAAATTCAAACCATCAATAAAAGCAAGAAGTTGTTCCTGGGGTATGTCGACTGATTCCAGGACTGGATTATAGCCTCTGCCAAAGGGCGCATCGAATCCGGTGGTAAGCTGAGGAACACAGTAGGGTAGAGGGAGTTTGGGAGCTTCGAACGGCGGCACGGATTTCGTGGCAGGAAGGAAAGATTGGATCAAAAAATCCGCGTCTCGAGTGAGTTGTATGCCGGAAGATGATGCTTTCGGAACCTCGGGGGTGGGCATTGCTAGGTACGATGGTGGGGAGCCTGCGGGAGGGGGATATGATTGGATGGGTAACTTGGCAGAGTAGGCCATAGGAGTCGAGATCGAGTGATGCTTGAAATCCCAAGCGCAGGCGCCTTTATGCTTGAGACGCAGCAGACGCGACGCGACGCGGAATTGGAATTTTTACGAAAACTCTCACTGCGGATACAGGATTCATAAGCCATGAGGCCCAACGAACATATCCGCAGTAAAAAGCACAGCCCCGCTTGGGCCGCGCGGCCCAACTGGCGCGGCCTCATTCAATCGAACAGGCGGCGCATCCAGATTGTCGAAGGAAGACATGAGCTTTAAAGATGACCTCCAGCGAAAAGCCAATGGACTAGTCGGCAACCAGAATTTCTATCGAGCGATTGAGAAGGCGTTCTCGAGGATCTATAAATAAACATGGGCGCGCCGCGTTCCGCTCCGCTTGCGAGGATCTGCGGCGGAGTGGAGCCTTCTCTCCTCCACACATGCCGCGCCACACCTGACGCTCTTGTCATTGTCGTGACGATGTACTGGATATACGATGGCGGCGTGTGCACTGCGGTATTGTCGGGCTGGCGCCACACGACGTGCTACGCATGCGAACGGGCAACACTCGAAAGAGCGGCTGACAGTTGCTTCGCTGGGGAGCATCATTCATGCGGGACTGTGGTCGGTTTGGGCCGCGAGGAAGTGATGATCTCGTATTATGTGTAGTGTTTCTCGAGTAACTTGTTGGCTGTATTGCGTCATTACAAGGTCGTGCCTGATTCAATCTGCATCGCACTTCTTGGAAGCAAAACCTCGTGCAGAATTGTGCTCGCAACCAGCAGGACATTCGCGAATAAGAGGAGCGCGTCGGTAGGAGAAAGAAAGCGCGTTGGCCACGAAAATAAACGAGTGTCAATATGTACACACAAGCCAACGCGGTCACGTTATTGCGCGCGTGCAAGAAACCTTCCTAAGTTTTACGCGTCAAAATTGGGATGGAGCAGTTGGCGATGGGATATATGGGTTGGAACTCCCGAATTGGAGATTCTGTTTCCTCCTTGGCAGATACAATGAACACATGATTAACATTGTTCCTCATCGACTTCCAGTCTATCTTATGTTGAACTTCGACCAACTGATTCGATTTATTCCAGATGACCTATCATTCATTATGTGCTCACCTCCAATCGACTTCCCTTCAATTCCAAGGACTTACTTGAAATACACTTCTCGGTGGGAAATCGGCGCCATAGCGCAACCACGTTTGATATAGTTAAAAAACACGTTGACAGCCGTTCATTTTCTAAAATGCGCCCGCGTACTATTAGACGACATGCGCAGCCTAACCAGACGACAGTTTCTTTTCAAAGAGTATGCTGCATAAACGAGATCAACGAAACAAAGGAAGCAAGGAACGGCCCACAATTAGTGAAGATGTGGGCACTTGTCCACGCACCCTGTGTCGATGTGAAATTCTCGTGCGTCGCGGCCACAAGCTACACGCAGTGTTCATGTCCTCGACGATGACGAAGGCGAGATAGGGCTCGGAGGCGCCCACATCGATCGCGCACGTCAGGTTGGTAAACTGGAACGTGTACTGGACGGTGTAGCCGTCCGGGGCGACTCGGTTCTGCCCGAAAAAAAGTATTCGAACCTGAGTTCGGTTTCATGCCTCATTTCCTTTGAGAACTGGAGTTTCAGCGGTGATGCGATCCGCCTCAGTTGGTAAAGTAATACGACCCGCCTGCTTAGTTGGTAAAGTTTCCAAAATATCGCATCAATACATGTACTATCTACTCCAAGTTTCATGGTCCTAAATTCGTCTGTAGGATACTAAATCCGTTTCGTCATACGTCTCGATGGGATGATGGATGGATAGAGGGGAGATTCAAAGTAAGTGAAAGACTGTCCGGATGCACACGGTCTGGTGTGCAATTCAGTTGCGAGTTGGTGGATGCGCAGTTCACATTGGATCGCGCTCGTCGACGTGTGTGCGAAATTCCGAGCGGGTGTGTGCACGGGGAGACCCGAAGAGGTAGTATACTATTACACGTTCAAGGCAGTCTGTCCCGCGGGGGCGAGGTGCCCCATGATAGAGTGCGCTACGAAATGGGTTTTGCGACGAGATGGGTTCTGCGATAACGCTCATCTCATATATATAGTACAGACGGCGACGCCTGCGGTTGATAGAGTTGATAAACGTCGATGGTTTCAAGGAGTCTGTGGGGCTCGCGGGAAACCTCATTTATGCCGCGTGGGAAGGGCATCAAGACGGATGAGAATAGGAGCGAATAGGATGCTTGGATTAGATGTAAATTGAATGCATCAGGATAAAATAGCTCGTTTATCAGCGCCGAACTTGTGAGTGGAAGTGGGCTGATTCAGAATCATAGGTCGTCATACATACAGCCGTATCCCGGGGAGAAGGCTCCTAAAGCTAAACGCGCCCATGAATTATGTGCTTTTTAAGAAAATAAGACCCAAGGACAAATTATCGTGCAGCGCAGTGCACGTTCCGCTCGTCGTCGTGCACAATACTCATACACACCCATTCTCAATGAAAAAATTCCCAATGCATTCACTCATGCTCCCGTACAAACTAATACACCTCCCTCCAATCGCGACGCATCTGCGTCCCGCGCGCCTGCACTGCATGCGCGCCATACGGGTCCACGACCGCCTCCAGCCGCCTGTCCCCCCGACACAGGATCATCTGCCGGATGTAGTTCAGGCAATGGCGCGTCGCCGCCGACGTCCCTTTCCCCGCGTCCATGGGCCCTGCGACGTAGTCGCGCCGGATGACGTTGAGGCACCACAGCTGGTGGAACATCGAGAGCATGGACGACTCGCCCTCAGGGCCCAGGCGGACGACGCCGCCCTGCGCGGGGAAGAGCGTGGCCCATTGGGCGTCGGCGAGGCTCCCGTTTAGCTCGTAGTTGGCCGTGTTGTGGACGTCCTTGAGGACGGGGGGGAGGGCGAGGGACAGGCGCGGGGAGAGGGCGGGGGATTTTGCTGTTTAAAGGGTGAGCAAGACGATGGAGGAATGAGAGAGGATCGACTAACGGGGTGCGAATAGGTCGGGGAGGGAGAGCATGTGCGTGTCGTTGGCGAGGAGGAGGGGGAGGAGGACGGCGAGGAGCGCAGCGGAGGAGGCGGATACCCGGGTGGGCATCGCTGGTGGGTACACGCAGTCAAGCGGCGGGCGGGATGTGAGCGAAGGCGGGACAGTTCGAGGCGCACCTAGGCGCACCCCATCGCTTATCGGCATCAGTGGAGATGTGAGAATATTTTTACCGCGGTTCAGTCGCTGCATTCGTCTGATGAACCAGCTCTTGAAGACATAACCCTAACCCGAAATACAATTCCACAAGACATCGCGACTCGCGAAATTCCCGGCTTCAGCCCAGGATGTCCGTGTCCACCCCCCTCCTCTCAGACGCGCCCGTCGATGGCTGGGGATCGCCCACCCCAGAGAAAGCCTCGCCGAGATCCAAGGATACGCTATTCATCTATCCAAGTTATACTTGACTAACGCAATCCCGCAGACCGCACCCTCCCACTCGTCCTCCTCGCCTGCGCCGTCTCCCTGCTCTCTCTCTTCTTCAACCTCGCCTTCACGCTCCGCTCTTCTCCGTCCTCCCCTTCCCCTCCACCGCAAACGCAATCGGAACTACGCTACGCCGACTAGTACATCGGGCTCTCCTCCGCCGTCCTCGAACACGCATACTACCCCGCGCCGATAACGAACTTCCCGGGGCTCCTTGCGCGTGTCAATGCTTCCGCGCCGGGTGAGGTGTATCTCGAGCCGCCGCACTGGGCATCGCATTTCGGGACGATATACAGCGAGGATAGAACGTTTGTCATTCAGAGCAGGGTGCGTTCTCCTTCCTAAATTCCTCTTTATTCCTCCTTCCTTCATCTTCCATCTTCCTTTATTCCTCCTCCTCCTTTGTCTTTACATGCCCCGAAAGCAAGACTCACCCAATTCCGCACCATCGACTTCGGCATGGAGACCTGCGTCCTAACCCTCGCCACGAACGCCTCCGTCTCCGTCTCCCCTCTCCCATTCACGCTAGCCATATGGGCCCTCGCCGCCCCCGCGCCCCTCTCCCCGCACACCCTCTCCTGGGACACGCGCCCGCCGCGGAAGCAGCTGCTTGCTACCCTGCCTTTTACCTTCACCCCGGGCGCCAGCACGAATGAGCTGAGGGCCCCCGAGTTCGCCTGCCCCGCGCGGATGCTCTTCACGTTCGAGGCCACGTACGCTGATACGGAGGAAGGGAAGGAAGATGGATGTTATGTGAAATTCGTGCAGGATAATAAGAGTCGGGAATTAGGTGCGTGCTTTCCTTTTCCTTAGCGAGCATGCGCTGATTATTAAGGAATAGGGCTATTCCTGACGCAGTATGCGACCTCGCCCTCCGATGGCGAGAACGACGAGAACGACGCTGACCTGTAGTCGTCTGCTGGTCACGGTCTGTGTAATTTAAATTTTTAAGGTGTATTGTATTATATATAATTTACCGGGGTACCTCTGTTTCTGGTCTCGCTTCAACCCTCCACCCATCCCAGTCTCGGGAATGCAGGGAGAAGGACGAATAGAGCAAGCCTTTGTCCATGTTTGGCATGAAGTACGCGACGCGCCGTGGGGCACGTGAGGTTTTAGGCGCCCGCTCTGTATTCGATTCTACACTGACTCAGCAATCTACCTTGCATCCATCTCCCCCCCGTTCAAGCCAAGAACCGACTCGGTGGCGGATGGTCCGCGTCTGCGCCTGCTGAGCGCCCCTGACATATTTCAGCGGAAGGCGTCTGTTCGAATGAGGCTCGAGTCATGGTCCTGTAGTCAACCCGTTTACTTGTTGAGGCATTTCAATACCCGCTTGCAGAACTATAAAATAAGCTCATATATCTCCCTTGCATACAGACTAAGAACCGACTCGGTGGCGGATGGTCCGCCTCTGCGCCTGCTATATAATTGCCAAGGATGTACTTTGGCAGAAGACGCCTGTTCGAATCAGGCCCGAGTCATGTATATTCAACGTTTCGTTTTGTCTTTTTGAAAAGGGCATTTCAGTGACGCTTTTGCGGTAATATAATATGAGCTCACTCCTCTCTCTTGTGTTCAAGCCAAGAAATGACTCGGTGGCGAATGGTCAGCGTCTGCCCCTGCTAGGATTATAGTTGATAACGGTATTTCAGCAGCCTGTTCGAATCAGACTCGAATCATTCTTGTCCGAGTTATTTTTTTTGAAGGGGCATTTCAATAACCCGCTTGCAGAAATATAAAATAAGCTCATATATCTCCCTTGCATGCAGGCTAAGAACCGACTTGATGGCGGGTGATCCGCGTCTGCGCTTTTTTATGCGATCGAATAAAAGCTACTCGAGCAGAAGGTGCCTCTTCGAATCAGGCTCGAGTCATGTGTGTCCAACACTTCTCTTTCTCTTTTTGAAGGGGGCATTTTAGTGCTGCCTTTGCTTGAGTATACAAATAAGCTCACTCATCTCCCTTGCGTCCAGGCCAAGAACCGACTCGGTGGGGGATGCCCCGCGTGTGCCGTTTGTGACCCATAACCTGTTAGACAGCAGAAACGCCTGTTCGAATCAGGTTCGAGTCATTCATCGTTCCTCTAGTTTTTCTTCTTTGGAGGGGAAACAAGCTCACTCAGAGGGCGTACGTTCAAGCCAAGGACCGGCTCGGTGGCGGATGGTCCGCGTCTGCGCTTGCTTCTGGCATAGGATGTTTCGCCAGCGAAAGTTGCCTGTTCGAATTAGGCTCGAGTCATTGTTGGTTTTAAAAACCGTTTTTTTTCTATTCTTTTTGGAGGGGGCATTTCACTACCGCCCTTACAGAAATAGAAAATAAGCTCACTTCTCTCACCTGAGTCAATGCAAAGTATGTAAATGTACGGCCGCGTCATTTGCGATGCGAGAAGTATCCGCAGTAAAACAGGATCGTGCGACACTATAATTGATTGTCGGGGTGAACCCGTTTCACTCATCCGGGGGGGTTCGTAAGGATACCCTTTGGCTGTGTTTGGCGCTAAATGCGCGACGCGCGGGGCACGTGCACCCTTTAGCGCCACGCTCTTCTTGCTTTCTTTGCTCACCGTCTCTGGTGTCCACGTCTGACCTCCGCGCTTGGCATCACTGGGGAATCCGACTGCACTGCTTGTTGAAACCACCAAAACTCGCTATCTAGTATCGCGACATCGCCCGCACTGGCAGGACCAGCTTCGGATGCCCGTGTCCTCAGGCTGTGTCCACTCTCTCTCGGACGCGCCTCAGGCTGTCGATAGCTGAGGTTACCCACCCCGGAGAACCTCACTGAAATCAAATTTGTGTCTAGCATTTGCCCAAATTAGACCCGGCTAATTGTAAACCGTGAATCCTGCAGACCGTACCCTCCCGGTCGTCCACTTCGCCTGCACCGTCTCCCTCCTCTCCCTCTTCTTCAACCTCGCCTTCACACTCCCCTCTTATCCTTCCGTGCCGCCCCTCCCCCACAAACACAGACGGAACTGCGATACGCCGACCCGTACATCGGCCTCTCCTGCGCCGTCCTCAAACACACATACCACCCCGCGCCGATAACGAACTTCCCGGGGCTCCTCGCGCACGTGAACGCCTCCGCGCTGGGGGAGGTGTACCTCAAGACGCCGCACTGGGTGTCGAATTTCGGGACGATTTATAGCGAGGATCGGACGTTTGTCGAGCAGAGCGGGGTGCGTTCTCCTTCCTTCCTAAACTCCTGCCCAAATTCCTCCTTCTTCCATCTTCCTTTATTTGTCCACCTTTATCTTTACCCCGAAAACAAGACTCACCCAACAAGCAGGTCTCGTCTCCCTCGTCCCTTCACGCTCGCAGTATAGACCCTCACCGCGCCCGTGCCCCTGTCACCGCACACCCTCTCCTGGGACACGCGCCCGCCGCGGCGGGAGCTGCTTGCTACCCTGCCTTTTGCCTCTTTTGCCTTCTCCCCGGGCGCCAGCACAAATGAGCTGAGGACCCCCGAGTTCGCCTGCCCCGCGCGGACACTCTTCTTATTCGAGGTCGCGTGCGCTGATACGGAGGAGGGGAAGGAGAATGGATGTTATTTGAAGTTCGTGCAAGCTAATAAGAGTCGGGAACTAGATGCGCACCTTTCCTTTTCCTTGCCGTTTTGTTGACGAGCATGCGCTGATGAATTGGGTGTGGGTTTATTCCTGACGTAGTATGCGGCCTCCCCCTCCGATGGCGATGGCGATGGCGAGAACGACGAGAACGACGCCGACGCGTAGTGGTATGCTGGTCTGTATATTCAATAACATTGTATTATAATTTCGCTGGGGAATTTACGTTGTTCCTGGTCTTGCACTCCTTGCACTCGATCCTAGTCTCGGGAACTCAGGAATGCAGAAGTGAATGCAGCGAGGTTTTAGGCGCCCGCCAACCTGAGATTCTAGAACACACTCGGCAATCTACCTTGCATCCAAGCTATCCATCTCCCCACCGTTCAAACCAAGAACCGACTCGGTGGCGGATGGTCCGCGTCTGCGCCTACTGTGTAGGCAGCTCTGGCATATTTCAGCAGAAGGCGCCTGTTCGAATCAGGTTCGAGTCATGATTCTTCCTGCGTTTCCTTTTCCCTTTTTTTGGAGGGACATTTCATTACCAGCTTCGCAGAACTAGAATAAGCTCATACATCTCCCTTGCATGCAGGCTAAGAACCGACTCGGTGGCGGGTGGTCCGCGTCTATGCTTTCTGAGTATGGTATTCAAGTTTCAGGAGAAGACGCCTGTTCGAATCAGGCTCGAGTCATGTCATGGGCAACGTTTTTTGGCAGGCATTCACTACACTTTGCAGAAATATGAAACGAGCTCACCCATCTCCCTTGCGTTCAGCCTAAAAACCGACTCGGTGGCGGATGGTCCGCGTCTGCGGCTGCTATGTGGCTTGAAGAGTTTAAAAACGAATCAGGCTCATTACTTTCTATGAGGGCGAATATACAGATGTTTACTCGTATGGCGTACGTTCAAGGAAAGAACCGACTCGGTGGCGGGTGATCCGCGTTTGTGCTACCAAGGAACCAGGCTGTTAAACAGCAGAAGGAGCCTGTTCGAATTGGGCTCGAATCACTGTTGCCTCTGTGCATTCATCTTTTTGGAAGGGTCCCGCCTACGCAGTAATATAAAAGAGGTTCACCCATCTACCTTGCGTTCAAGGACAGAACCGACTCGGTGGCGGATGGTCCGCGTCTGCACATCAAGCTGCCCCTTCTGCAGAAGGTGCCTGTTCGAATCGGGCTCGAGTTGATCACTTTTTGGAGGATTCACGACCCACGTCGCCGGTATCTACTAGAACGACCTCACTCATCCCACTTGCGTTCAGGCTAAGAACCGACTCGGTGGCGGATGGTCCGCGTCTGTGCCCGCTATAGAACTGCCACAGATGTACTTTAACAGAAGGTGCTTGTTCGAATCAGGCTCGAGTCTTACTTCGGTCTCCGTCAATTTTCCTTTTTGAAGGGAGCATTTCATTACCAGCTTCGCCAAAATGTAATATAAGCTCATTCATCTACCTTGCGTTCAAGGAAAGGACCGACTCGATGGCGAATGGTCCGCGTCTGCGCTTGCTGACGAGGTATCCACAATAGTTAAGAAGAATGTGCCTGTTCGAATTAGGTTCGAGTCATGGTCTTCTCAATCCGTTTTTCTTTTTTGATGCATTTCATTACTTTTGTTGAGATATAAACGAGCTCACTCATCTGCATTCCGTTCAAACCAAGAGCCGACTCGGTGGCGGTTGGGCCGCATCTGCGACTGCTATACACGCTCCCGCGAGATTTCAGCAGACAATGCCCGTTCGATTCGGGCCCGAGTCATAACCTAACGCCGTTGCGTTTTTTTTGGCCGAGATTTCACTACCCGCTTCGCAGAACTGTAAAATAATCTCATTCAGACGGCGTACGTTCAAGCCCAGAACTCACTCGGTGGTGGATGGTCCGCATCTGCGCCTCGTAACAAATCGGCGATATATTTGAGCAGAAGGTGTCTGTTCAAATCAGGCCTCAGGCTCAAGTCGTTCTTGAGGTTTTGCTTTCGTTTTAGGTTGACTGACAATTTTTTTTTTTGGTTGATATCTCCATCTCTCAGCTTGCTTGCGTTCAATGCGAGAACCGACTCGGTGCCGGATGGTCCGCGTCTGCACTCATTTCCCCGAACCCCAAGCGTTTGAGGTAGAAGGTGCCTGTTCGAATGAGGCTCGAGTCATTGAATTTCTTTATCACTTTTTGGGGGGCGAGATTTCACTGCCGCCTTTACAGGTATAGACAAGGAGCCCACCTATCTCCCTTGGGTTCAAGCCAATAACCCACTTGGTGGCGGAAGGTCCGCGTCTGCGCTGGCGCGGGCGTAACTCCTTTGGCAGAAGATCCCTGTTCGAATCAGGCTCGAGTCATTCTTGGCCGTTCGGCGAATGTTTTTTGTTGACTCCATTGCCTATTTGCAGAGATATGAAATAATCTCACCCATCTGCTTTGCGTTCAGCCTTAAAACCGACTCGATGATGGATGGACCGCGTCTGCAATTTATGAATAAGCAGAAGGTGCCTGTTCGAATCAGGCTGAGTCATGTTTATTGCTCCATGCATTTTTCTTTTTTGGAGGGGCATTTGACTACTACCCATTTCGTTGAAATAGAAAATGAGCTCACTCCTCTCCCTTGAATTCAGGCTAGGAGTTGACTCGGTGGCGGGTGGTCCGCGTCTGCGCTTGCTAGGTGGATCTGAGTCGAAAGTCGCTTGGCAGAAGGTGCCTGTTCGAATCAGGCTCGAGTCATTCTTGGCCGCGATTCAGTTTTGTTCTTCTTTTGGGGTAGGTATTTCATTACTGGCTTCGCCGAGATCTAATAAAAACGAGCTCACTCGTTTCCATTGGGTCCAGGCTAAGCGTCGACTCGGTAGCGGATGGTCTGCATCTGCTTTCGATAAGGAGCTCGAAAACCTGAGCAGAAGGTGCTTTTTGGAATCAGCCTCGAGTCATCCTTCACTGGCAACCCCATTTTCTTTCCTGGAGGAGGTAATTCATTACCAGCTTTGCAGAACTATAAAATAAGCTCGCCTGTCTCTCTTGCATTTGAGGTCAATCGGATCCAAACGGAGTTTTCTTTCCAGACATGGGCCGACAGCTTACTCGAACATAAATATGCATTTGCGGGGAGAACTGGGAGGAGAAGAGATGAGAGGAGAGAGATTTACGGGAGGATGATGAGAGGCGGGGCCTCCCATACGCCTGCGAGACATTCCCGCAAGTTTCGTCGAATCGGAGTCAATGCAAATTGAATGTACGGCCCAGATTCAAGGGTTCCGTGTTGAACCTGTTTCACTCGTCGTATGTAAGGAAGGTTCGCTTTGGCTGTGTTTGGTGCCGAATGCGCGACGCGCAAGGCACGTGCACCCTTTAGCGCCCAACAAGCGCTGCTTTTTTCGCTCACCGTCTCCAGTGTCCACATCTGACCTCATCGCCTAGCATAATCGGGGAATAGACTACCGAATACTGCTTGTTGAATTCAGCCAATACCGGTATCACGACATCGCAACTCGCCAGCAGGACCAGCTCATGACCACTCCCCTCTCGGATGTACCTCAGGCCGTCGATAGCTGGGGGGTTTCCCACCCAGGGGAACCTCACTGAAATAGACTGGTACGCTCAACATCTGCCCAAGTTATACTGTAACTGACTAACCGTGAATCCCGCAGACCGCACCCTCCCGCTCGTCCTCCTCGCCTGCGCCGCCTCCCTCCTCTCCCTCTTCTTCAACCTCGCCATCACCCTCCGCTCTTCTCCCTTCTCCCCGCCCCTCCCCCGAAAACGCAAGTGGAACTGCGCTACACCGACCCGTACATCGGCCTCTCCTCCGCCGTCCTTAAACACCCCGCGCCGATAACGAACTTCCCGGGGCTCCTCGCGCGCGTCAACGCTTCCGCACCCGGGGAGGTGTACCTCGAGATGCCGCACTGGGCATCGAATTTCGGAACGATATACAGTGAGGATAGAACGTTTGTCGTCCAGAGCGGGGTGCGCTCTTCCTTCCTTCCTCATCCTTCCTTCATCTTCCATAATCCCTCCTCCTTCGATATATCCACCCAAAGCAAGACTCACCCAACCTGCCCATATTCAAATTCCGCACGATCGACTTCGGCATGGAGACCTGCATCCTAACCCTCGCCAAGAACACCTCTGCCTTCCTCTTCCCCCGCCCATTCACGCTCGCAGTATGGACCCTCGCTGCGCGCGCCCTGCTCTTCCCGCACACCCTCGCCTTGGATACGTGCCCGCCGCGGGGGGAGCTGCTCGCCGCCCTGCCTCAGTGCGAATACACATGGGTTGAATGAACTGAGGACCCCCGAGTTCGCCTGCCCCGCGCGGACGCTGTTCCCGTTCGAGGTCGCGTGCGCCTATGTCGACGCCAAGGAGAGGAAGGAAGACGGGTGTTATTTGAAGTTCGTACAGGATGACAAGAGTCGGGAACTAGGTGCACGCTTTCCTTTCCGTTTCCGTTCGATGGCGAGCGTACGCTGATGAATTGAAAGTAGAGTTATTACTGACGCAGTATGCGGCCTCGCCCTCCGATGGCGGGAACGACGCCGACGCGTAGTCGTCTCCTAGTCTGTAATTTATCAACGTAAGATGTATTGTCTATTTTCCTGGGGGATACTGTATGCCAAAATTCTGGTGTCGCTTCATCCACCCCTCCACTCCATTCCAGTCTCGGGAATGCGGGGAGGAGGAAGACGCGACGGGCACATGCGGGCTTTGGTTTCTTGATCTCCTAGCTTGCTTACGTTCAGTGCAAGAGTCGACTTGATGGCGGATGGTCCGCGTCTGCGTCTGCTATGTAGGCGCTTCTGACATATTTCAGCAGAAGGCACCTGTTCGAATCAGGCTCGAGTCATGAGAACCGATTGTCTTTTCTTTTTTGGAGGCGGGATTCCAGTACCCACTTACCGCAATTTCAAGAGGCTTACTCGTATGGCGTACGTTCAAGGAAAGAACTCGGTGGCGGATGGTCCGTGTCTGCGCATGCTATCAATGGCAGAACGGCTGACCAGAAGGAGCCTGTTCGAATCAGGCTCGAGTCACGATTCTTCCTGCTTTTCCTTTTCCCTTTTTTTGGAGGGACATTTCATTACCAGGTTCGCAGAACTAGAATAAGCTCATACGTCTCCCTTGCATGCAGGCTAAGAACCGACTCGGTGGCGGGTGGTCCGCGTCTGATGCTTTGGTTGTCGTCATTGCAATTCGCTTTTTGAAGGGCGCATTTTGCTGTCGCGTTTGTAGAAATATAAAATCAGTCTTGCGTTTGAAGTCAATCGGCACAAAATAAAGCTAGTGGGGCGGACGAGCGGCACGGTCCGCTATCATGCTGAATTATTTTGCTTATTTGAGCGGAATTTTTAAGCGGCCCAAAGCTCGCTCGGTCGACGCGCGAGCGTCGACCAGCTTGCATTGGGCCGCAGACATGTAATAAATTTAGGCGCGTCTTATCGAATCCCAATTGATACGAAGATAACTAAAAGTCAGGGAAGAAAAGGCGGTCCCAGCTCGCTCCTCAATTCATTCGAAATAAACACCAGAGCGGCCAAACCTTGCTCGGTCGAGTCTCGACGCGCAGGCTGGGTAGCTCCCGTTCGGTCACAGATCAGGTACTACATACATTTACAACCTCACCTATTTAATTACGAGGGCAGAAGCTGAGGAGGTCGTAAAAACACGATTACGAGTCTCTTCACGGCATCTGCACTGAAACATTTTGGGAGGGGAAAGCCAAGGGGAAGCGCTTACACAAAAACCACAGACGAAGTGTGATTTTCACCAGGACGTGAATTCAGGGCGCCCTAAAACCCTTACCTAAAGGTAGCGGGAATTGACTCGTCAATATCCATTTGCAGGCAAGACTTAGAACAGATTGAGAGACGTATGTAAGGGTGAATGACAGGCGTGTCTCTTATATGCCGGCGAGAAATACACCTGCGGGAAATTTGCGCCAAGTTGGTGCCTTGTGTCGATGTCGAATCGGAGTCAGTGCAAATTATGAATGTGCGGCCGCCTGATTTGCAATGCGAAGAGTATCCGCAGTAAAGGAGGATCTTGCGACACTAAAATTGACTCATTTCGTGTTGAAGCAGTTTCACTCACCCCGGAAGGATTCGCTTTGGCTGTGTTTGGCGGCAAATGCACGACGCGTGAGGCACGTGCACCTTTTAGCGCCCAACAAGTGCTCTCTTCCTCTCACCTCTCGCACTACCGTATTCACTCTGCCCTGCCGGTCATCCTCCCCACCTGCGCCGTTTCGCTTCTCTGTCGTTTCCTCAACGCCTTCAAGCACTCTACAGGTCAACTAGAGGTCCAGCATCTCCTCAGACTCCCACCGCCACCAACCGCACCGCCCCTTCTATTTTTTTTTGGTTGTCGCATCTTGGTTTTAACTTTCCTCTGTCATGAACCATGTTCCCTGCGCGTTCAAAAACCTTCAAGGAAAGTCGGGTGGAACTGCAAATCTGGCCATCCGACCTTGACTGAGCGGACGCGATATTGTATGCATGGGAGCTCAAACCCGACGCAAACGCCCCCGCGGCATTCGCTCCAAGGAACCGCTGATGGTTCTCTGATATTGTGGCACTCGATTGACACGCTCAAGCTCAATGACAGATGTCACAACCCAAGGAGTTCGGCTGACTACATGGTCTCCCGCCATGAAAAGCGCGCGAGGCTTACGAAGAAGTACACTCGACTTCGGTGCAGTCGCCGTCTTCGGCTGTAACAAGAATCAGTGAAGGGTCATTTTATCCCTGTCCACGAGCGCTCGTCGCGGCGGAGCTTACACGTCCTGTTGTTGTCCGTGCTAAATTTATTGGCGCATACTTATCTTCTCATCAGCCTTCGATTTGATCCTCAAGTAGGGCCTCATCCGACTGTTGACGGCATTGGTTCTTTCCAAGACCAAAGACAAGACCCCGTCTTTCGAGTCGCGGTTGTTGATACCTTGAAACACTCCTCCTGGAGTAGTAGCGAAACCAAAGCTCTAACTTAGCTTCAAATTCTGGAGATAATTACCCACGTACGTCGACCGTCCTTGATGCATCGCCCTCCTGTCAACGTCGCTCTCTGGACAGGGGAACTGCTGTTCAGTCCTATAAGTATCCTGCACGTCCAGTTGCAGGAGCGCTCAGCTGCATTCATCTCTTTACGGCCATGAGCTATGTCGTCGATCCCGCAGAGTTCGATCCCGGCTGGGCTATTATGTTGGAAATCGTCTGCCTACTCTCCGTAAGTCACGTTCTCCCGAGCGTTGGGATAATTTGAAGACTTAACACTGTTCACAGACCACCCTCGTGTTATATGGTAAATGTGTATATCCCACCGTGCTGCGCAATCGATCTCATGGAATACAGGCGTATATATCCCCCTGTTCATCTTCTCAATTCAAAGCTTGACCCATCGAAACTCGCCGGGGCGGCTGGTTATGCTTACTACCACATGGCTAATGTTCATCCTCGGGACCTGTGGTACTCTCCTGGTCGTCACAGAGGCTGCACTCGCCATTCGGATCACCAAGGCAGTCGTTCAAGGCTCCACCGATATCCCTGGTCTGCTTCAGGTATTCCGTCGGGTTCAACTGACGGAAGTGGTACGAGTGGCCGTGAACAAGTCAGTACTAAACGATTCATTGTTTGTGTCATGCCTACTCACGCACACCTCAGTTTATTGACGGATTTGCTTCTTGTAACGTCTTCCACGGGTTGATCCTGCGAACACCAACTGATTTGATTTCTCAGCTGTATCGTTGTTACATTATATGGGGATCAAAAAAGGTGGTTCTTCTATTGCCCGCAGCGTGCATTTTGGCGACGGTCGGTAAGTCAAGTCCGTTTTCACGGCTTTCCGGAGTCGACTCAATGTTGGTTAGTTCTTTCGGTCCTCGCCTGGATAACACATCCGGATGGACAAGTATACCTTGTTGACTCCCGGGCGCCTTTCATTATGACCCTGGGAACAAATGCGCTTCTTATGTGTCTCGCAAGTGCGTTGATCCACCGCGGCATCTGCCTTGACTCACGATCCATCTAGTTGGGCGAATATGGTACGCAGGACGCCAGGTGCAGATTTTACAGAATCACCGAGGATTCCGAAATCAGTACAATAGTGCCATTGCGTTGCTGTGCGTGTTCCTGTTGGCGGACCCATATGCTAATTCTGATCCAATGCGCCGGTAGACTCGAATCGGGGGCAATGTATTGCCTCTGTCTGGTTTTATGGGTCATCTCACTTACGTCGACTCTTGGCCTTTCCACTGAATCTGTGAGTCTTCGTTGACGATTATGGTTCCGGATCTGACTTGAACACAAGGAGTCAATATTCTCCGGAATCACTGGTGCTTTGGTCGGACAAACCGTGGTAAGTGGTATCGGTGCGCGTGCCATATGAGTTTGTGAATCTGACTCGGACTTTGCAGAATATAGCGCCAACGGTGATACTCGTACGCGTTGGCAAGGGACATTGGCAGTGGATTCAAGACGATCCCCGTCGGTCGCTATCCCAAAGGACTGCCGGGAGCCAGATCGTCTTCAAGTCTGCCTCAACATCATACCCAGTAATCGAAATTAAGTAGGGGGGGATGCATGGCGAGACACGAATTCTTTTTCATTTTTCTCCCTGTTTGGTTGGGTTTTCGTTTCGCCGCTCGGCCTCGTTGGAAGTTGCATGATTAGTCTTTATCACTACGATGTATGAATCACAAAAAAAGAAAACTTAAATAGCTATGATCTTCTACCGCGCCCGAATCGGAGTCCCGATGAGGTGAACCTCGAGTGACACGACAGATGTTCGGATGATAGACATGATTCATGTGCGGTGGCTTGGTAGAAATCTCGGATGCCGAATGTTGTCTCCACACAGGGAAATGCAACGAGCTCCAAATTAGAGCAGTACGGACTGGTATCGAACCTGTTTCACTCGTCGTAAGGATTCGCATCAGGGATCGGGCGGGATCGTGAATGGCTGAAATCTCAGGTTACTCAACAGTTTATCAATCTCGTCCCAGCCGCAGTGCCCGGCAATTATAGTGAAGTCCAACGGAAATATTTTGTTGGCCAAACAACCTGTATTCCGTCTTCATTCAATGTCAAATCATACATGCATAGGGTAAGGCTAGAAAGTCATTGAGCAGCGGATTGAAGTCGCTAGTAACCACTCGGGAGGAATTTCATCCCGATGCAAGTCCTTCGCAGCAACTTCGCCGATGATTTTTAAAACTTGGAATTGGGATACTGAGGCAGGGGTCGCACCTTAAGTCTGCAAGATATATTTACGCGCGAAGTGGCATTGCTGTGGGAGAATGTGCTCTTAATAGATGGAGGAATTAGCACGTGAAATAGGGAGGCCCCACTTAGACGGTGACCGTTTCAGCAAGTCCTCCGCGTCATCGAATCAAAGTTGCACTGGGGATCATATACGGATTGGGGTAATGTCTCGAGCCATCGGCGACGTCACCCGTTAAAGCATATCGCGGAAAATGATGCATAGGGAATTATCGTAGACATGAAGAAAATCACATTCCGTCTATCATATCCCAGACTTTCAGGTGTGAAGTAGACTAGTTACGAGTCTAGTCACTGTCACTATCATACAGTTCGGGTGAGCCTGTCGGAGAATTGCTACCGGGTGGCGAGCCTGGAGGAGAATAATCACCAGGTGGCGAGCCTGGGGGAGAATCGGGTGGCGAGCCCAGTGGGGGAGAATAGTCGCCGGGTGGCGAGCCTGGGGAGAATAGTCGACGGGTGGCGAGCCTGGGGGAGAATAGTCGACGGGTGGTGAGCCTGGCGGGGAATAGTCGCCGGCTGGCGAACCTGGCGGGGATCCCACGCCTTCGTAATCGCTCTGGTTGCAATGAAT